GTGAGTTATTCTTTTTTTTGTTTCCCCTCTCTATTTCTCTTATTCGTATATATTTTCGATCAATCTATCGAACCAAAAAAAAACAAACTTCGAAACTTAAAACAAGTAATTGGTGGAGATGGCAACCCTTTTTTTTTTTTTTTTTTTTCTTTTTAACGATAGGAAAAAAGATCCTTCGCCAATTTTACGTCATTTATCGAAATATCTTTTGTGAACGCGTGTTATAAGGAAAAAGGAATAGAAGAATCGTTGGCGAAAAGAGAAATTTGCGTCGCGAGGCGAGGCGAGGAGAGGCGAGCCGAGGCGCAAACTTTCGAACGCACGAGGGTGGCTCAGAGGGAGGAGAAGGAGGAGGGTGTCCAATTAACCGGCGATCTGCTTCGGTGGTGTGCACTAATTGAGAGTATCAATGAACGTCAATGAGCATAGTCAATATTTGGTCGGAGCATCCGGTCGTTTTGTAACGTTCTTTTTGTTATAAAACGGATGACAAATATTGACTACGTTCGTTCATTCGTTCGTCGTTCGTTCGCTCGCTCGCTCGCTCGCTTGTTTCGCTTGTTCACTTGCTCACTCGACACTCGCGCGCAAGTACAACCACGTAAATACTTTCGTACTCACTTGATCTATAGTATATAATATATATATATATATATATATATCATATATGTGGTATATACATATAATACATATCTACATATCGGTTGTTCCCGTTAATTACATCGGCACGACGATGACTCCCACATTATTTATCGGTGTTACCAGCCAAAGTTATTAAAACGCATTCTATATATCTCGTTTTGATTTATCGACTCGTCGAGGGAGGGGGGAGAGAGAGAAAAAGAGAGAGAGAAAAAGAGAGAGAGAAAGAAAGAAAGAAAGAGAGAAAGATATATCTGATGTTTTTCCATCGATTATTTTTCTATGAATATACTATTACTTACTTATATACTAACTGTCGACGATAAGAAGAAGAATACGATTTGCATACCAATCGTCGTGTTCATTTTTTCGCTCTTTTTCGTACCATTTTCTCTTTCTTTCTCTCTCTCTCTCTCTCTCTCTCTCTCTCTCTCTCTCTCTCTCTCTCTCTCTCTCTCTCTCTCTCTCTTCTATCTCACATTCAACATTATTAATAATAAGTATTTTTTTTTTCTAAGAGAGAGATATACTGTTGATTGCAACAAACTGTTTATCTTGTTTTTTATTTGCATATATTTTTTTCTTCTTATTATTATTCTTTATAGAATAGAGACAGACAATCGACAATTTGTTACGTAAAAGAATTCTCAATATCTCTCTCTCTCTCTCTCTCTCTCTCTCTCTCTCTCTCTCGTATAATTCGAAAGAGAATATATTTCTTATTATATAAGCGTTTACTTTGTCTTTTATTTTATCGTTCGACGTATGTCTGTAGAATACGAATCTTCGTGTACACGTATGTATCATACATATATATATGTAAAATATACATATATTTGTATAGTATAATTCTATATATTCTCGGAACACGTGGTTACTCGTGGGCGTAACAAGTGGTCAATATCGTTTTGTTTCAACAAGGAGTTTTACATCGATGTACCGCGTTATTTTTCGTCTTAACGTTAAAATAATTTACTCGTACGTTTCGTAGTAATAATCATCGTGTACGTTTAGAAAAGGAGCATCATCCTATCTGTCACTCTTTTTAATGATCCTACATCTAACAACTTTACAACGAGGTTAACGCGCGATTTCAAATTTCATTCATAAGCGATTAACGATCGATTATAATTCTCGTATGATATCTGAACAATTTTTCAAATATCATTCCTTTTAATAAATTTATATTTTCTAACATTATACAAAATATATTAACGCAATATCGTTAACGTGATTAGATCGAATTATGCTACGATACTCGTTCGAGATGATGATTGGTCGTCATTTGGTAAATGATTTAAATGAAAATTGTTACTTATTGTTGTCGTTGTGTACAAAACATTTCAACCTATCCTCGTATATATTACCAACATATATTAATTTTCTCCCCCACAAAAAAGCGAATCCAATTCGTTATTTGTTAAAAGAAAACTGATGGATACTTATGTCAAATAAAATAGGATAGATATAGATGATAGAAAAGAAAAGAAAAAGAAAAAGAAAAAGAAAAAGAAAAAGAAAAAGAAAAAGAAAAAGAAAGAAAGAAAAAGAAAGAAAGAAAAGGAAAGATAAAGAATGTACTTATATTATTATTTTTGTCTATCGTAGGTAGTAGAGTTCGCTCGTTCGTCGAGTATCGTGATTCAATCCGGCATATATAATGGGTATAACATTCCGCAGAATTCCATTATGTTAACGCAACCACGTTCCAATTCTCTGGGCATGCCTGTTCGCGTATCGTAATGCGTGCGTTACTAGTATATCGCAACTATTCGCGGTATAGGCGTGCGCGAGCGCGCTCACACGCACACGAAGCCTTTCCGATTAAAATGCCTAATTGATGCGGGCAAAGCTAATTTCAGGTAGGCTTCGAAATTCCGAACTACGAGTCCGATAGATATGATGCCATCCGATTCGACGTAGCAAAGGGCAATACTTTTCATTACCGATGCTCATACATATCGTGTGTCCCTATGTTCCAAAGATATTTCTTTACAATCGTACTTACAATTAGAGATTCCTTTCTAATTTAATATTTTCCAAAATTATTCTTCGTTGTGTTATTTTACTTTTCTTTTTCTTTTTTTTTTATCGAAAATCATACCTCTTCGACTCGATTGTTTTGTAACATTTATTGGAATGGAATAGAAAAGGAAAAAAAAAAAAATTAAAGTGAATACTATATTACGTAAAACTTCTAATATGAACATAATATCCTATGCAAACGATAATTTATATACGACAAACATTAATCTTCAGACGTTAGGTAGGAATTAATTAAAAGAAGACAAAAAAAAAAGAGAGAAGAAAAAAAAAGGACGTACGAGAGTACTTACGTGACATTAAAATTATACGACATTGTAAAGAATTAAAGAGAGGGAGAGAGGAAAGAAAAAAAGTTATGACAATATTGCACAGTGTGTGTGTGTGTCTCTCTCTCTTCTTTTTCTTTTTATTTTATTTTATTTTTTCTTTACTATTTTCGTTTCTTTTTTTCTTCTACCTTTTTTTTAATGAAAATATTTTCACGTCGGGATTGTAATTGCGACTGGCTAAGTTTTCTTTTTTTTTTTTTTCTATTCTCTTTTTCTTTTTTTTTTTTTTTTCATCGAGAAAACGTGTAATTAACATTATGCAAATCAGCGAACGACGAGCATATCAGATAGTCGTAATAACGTTCGTGTGTCAGTCTAATGTTAGGATAGGTACAGGTTAGTATAATATATTTTATAGATAAAGTTTATAAATTATTCGATGTATTTTCTATTTAATTAAGTAGCTATTAACCGAATTAGGTACTTGGTTTCAACGTATCCTACATTATTCATATATTTATTACATCTATTCGTATACGATATTACGTATTAAATTTGTTATTAATTAAATGTTTATTTTTTTTTATTTTGGTAAACTTTTATCGTAGAAATAGAAAGCGATTTTATTTTTTTCTTTTACAAATTGTCATTCGGCGTAATCAAAGATCGATCTAATTGTCAAAAAGAAATCGGAGTAGGGAAAAAGGATAAAAAAAAATAAAAAGCGGCAGATAACATAGATCTAGTTCTGGGTGTTCACTCGCGAATGAAAAAGAACAAGAAAAAATATTAGAACAAGAGAGAGAGAGAGAGAGAGAGAGAGAGAAAAAGAGAAAGATAGAAAGGTGCAGAGGGTGTTGGGTGGGAGTGGGGGGAAGAAAGAAAGAAAGATCGTATTCAAGTTGAAAGTGTGTGTATACGCATAAAGTGAAAAATAGAAAGAGAGATGTAACGTTCGGGTGGTGTGTAGTAGATCGCACGCGGTCGTGGGGTAGAGCTCGAAAGGGCGGCAGGAAAAAAATTTAATCTTCCCTCGCATTATCCTTTTTGGCAATAACGGCTTTGCCTCCCCGGATCGTCCTCGTTCAACCCCGTACCACCCCCACCAGTACGACTACCTACTCTTACACTCCATGTTCCATTTGCTTTCTCACTCTCTCTCACTCTCTCTCTAAATTTCATGCGACGAGGAGAGGAAGGAAGCTCGCCGACGCGCCGGCACAGAGAAAAAAGTCGCGAAACAGTAAATCGTGAATTGTAGTAACCGAGCGCCATTCATCCTGATACACCGGATGTGACTACATATTTCCTTCGTTCCGTTTAAATTAGTGTTTTTGCCGTACGGCCTTGATTGTGTTTTCGCGCACACCTCCACCTACACCTCCTCCTTCTCTTCCTCCTTCTCCACCTTCTCATCCTTCTATATTTCTCCTCCCCCTATGCACGCACGAACACATATACAAACATACTCTCTCTCTCTCTCTCTTTCTCTTTATCTTTCTCTATCTCTATCTATCTCCCTCCGTAGTTTTCATTCTATTTCTTTCTTTCTTTATTACTCTTACAACGCGAAACGTAAACGCGTGACAGTGGAAATGAAGTTAGGATACACTCGGTTACTCTTTGCTACCCTTTTTCTCCCATACACTCCCTCTCCCTCTCTCTCTCTCTCTCTCTCTCTTTTTTTTATTCTCGTATACTTTACAAAGGTAGAGATCGATTCTCTACGTTGATGAACGCATAACGGCCCGGAGAGCACGTAAACGATATATCAGAAACATCATTCCGATCAACGAAGGTACGGCCGGCCGATATGGACCGCGCCAAAATTGAAAAGTTTGATGTATTAAAATGCACCGTCGCGTTCCTACGCACGCGTTACGAGGAGGACATATGTATACGTATATATAAATGTGTGTGTGTGTGTTTGTGTGAGATACTCGTTCGTTCTCACGAAAGCAGTCGAGTGTTTCGAGTAGAATCGAAGTAGTTTTCTTCATCTCGCGACACACGTTCGTAAGTCGATTATCGAGTTGTCAAATA